ACCAATGTTCCTGTAGCGTTCTTTCCGATTCTAAGCCGAAAAGGACGAGACGCCGCATGCTTAGAGCTTCGTATTCACAGATCACATGGTATGAGGTTTATTCCTATTCCATGCAGAGTCTACACGTAGTGAGATCATTGTATAATCCCATCACATAAAGGTGTTTCAGCAAGCAATACTTCGTTAGTATTACCACAATAGTGGTCCCCTTAGCATGAGCTTACTGATTCTGTGACCTCTTATCTGTTGCCAGTGACTTTGGTGTTTTGTGGTTATCGACCTGTTCACTGCCTGTCGAGGCTGCTTGGCTGAGAGATTTAAGATGGTTTATTTTTTGTACTTCCTTCTCAAATTCTTTCGTACACATAATTCGATTGCATGTATCTTAGCCTGAAATACAGTGGTATGTTTTCCCAGTGAGAAGATGATGTCGCATTTGGATTCAACTCCATGTACGCCAGAGCCTATTCTCTTGTTAGTTTTGGATCCATCAGTATACCATACGAGACTGCTAAGCAAGTATTTCTCTACTTTCTTATTTACCTTGTTTCAGTTGCAGTTGACATGGAAGGTTAGGCGGGGTGCCATACGATCTAATCCCATGTTTAACATGGGATCATTTACTTTATGTTTTACAGTAATAGTATCTGCCGGTTCTTTAGGACAGGTAGTAGAAAAAGTAAAAAAGATTATTATGGCATTTAAAGAATGGTGTGACTGTAATAGATTGGTTTTAAACTTGTAAAAAACAATTTGTGTTAATTTTTCCTACGGCGACAGAAAATTTGTCCAATCACCTTTTGATGTAAATATCAACAAAGTTAATGTATTAGTAAATTCAGCAAATAAAACTAAATTTCTTGGGACACTTGTCGATTGTAATCTAAACTTCAAAGAACAAATAAATAATATTTGCAAAAATCTTAATAAAAGCTATTTTATGTTGTATTCACTTAAAAATGATATGCCAAAGGAATCTTTAATAACAATTTACTATGCCCATGTATATTCAACCCTTAACTACAACATTACTGTTTGGGGACAGGCATCAGATATCTCTCGCGTATTTATTATCCAAAAACAAATATTACGGTTAATTTTTAGTTTGGGTTACAGGGATAGTTGTCGAGAAATATTTAAAAATAATAAAATTCTTACTGTTACTGCAATATACCTCTATAAATTATTGTCTTTTACTTTTACTTTTAATAAAATAAGAAATCTCATAATGAAAAAAGATATACACGGGTATAATACCAGAAATGCTGAAAATATATATTTTAAACAACATTACCATACCAGCTACAAAAAATCACCATACTACGCCGGTTCTTACCTCTTTAACAAACTGCCATCAAACATAAATAATAATCAAACCCTACAAGGCTTCCAGAAAGATCTTAAGCAGCTATTAACAGTTAATGTTTTCTATTCATTAGATGAGTTCCTACAGTATACGGTTGCTTAGCTGATATATGAGATTTTTATAGATTTTTATATTGTACTGTGTTGCATTGTTCTTTGTACATTTTATTTATTTATGTATGACTTACCTTATTCATATTTGGTAGATATGGCTTCAAAGGTCAATAAATATTATTATTATTATTACTCTGGTATGTTTTATATGTCACTTTTGTGTTGGTTCCAAGAGTATGCTACCTAGGATTAGACCCAGATATTTTACTTTGTTCGTTTTGTTGAGCCTTCCTCCAAACAGAGTCGGAGTTTCTAAGACCTCTACCTTGTTGTCTAGTAAAGGTTATGGGTTGTGCCTTGTCAGGGTTTGCCAAGAGCTTTTCCCTAATGCACCACATTTCTGACAGCCTTAGTTTTCTGCATGAGTTCGTAGACTGTGGTTTGGTGTTTTTCTCAGATAAGAATGACTATATTATCGGCCTATCCTTTCAGCAGTTCATATGCTACTAGGTTCCACAGTAGAAGAGAAAGGACTTAACTCTGTGGACATCCCCCGTGAATATTCCCTGCAAGGTTTCACTAAGCATTTGTCCACGTACTTGCCGTCCGCGTAACGTGTCTTCTATCCTCCAGCAGATGGTGTCTTCTAATCCATGTTTGCCAGCGGCAGCTAACATAGATTTAAAGAAGGTATTATCAAAAGCTCCTTCTATGTCAAGAAATGATCCTGGGACTATTTCTTGGCTACTGAGTCCCTCCTCTATCTTGGTTACAAGATGATATAGAGCAGAGACACAAGATTTTACTGATTAATAAGCATGTTGGTTTGTATGAAATAGCCTCTCTAGCAGAGTGGTTTGCCGGACATGCTGATCAATCAGTTTTTCCAATCTTTTTAATAGAAATAACATCAGAGTTATTGGTCTGTAGGCAAGGTTCCAGACACCAGGAAAAGTCCGGACATGTCCGGAATGCGCCGTGAATTATTTTTCAAGAAAATCATCAAACGTATTAAGGTATACTTAAAATCCCGTATAAACAGTTCTAGTAACTGTTGAAACTAACTTTGCTTTTATACTGTCATGATTTATTTTTTATATATACATTCTTTAATAGACAGTTGTTGTCTTGTGTAGTTGTGTTTGTGTATAGCCTTTGGTATTATATCATGTTTTATGTTTAATTTCACGAATTTTTAATTGAACTGTTTTTGATTTTATTTTTGACAGCAGGTACTTTTTTAAATAAAACGTTTAGTAAATACTTCATTAGTTGGAATTTTATTATTTTGTCCGGATTTTTAGAGAAATGTCCGGAAATTTCGATAGGAATGTATTAAGACCTACTAGTTATGCAACCAATATTGTTTTATTTTATTTTGTTTGGGACAGTTGGTATTACTAAAAATTGTTCTATGTATCTGTCAATTTCTCCAACGACATTCATTCATATTCATTTCTCTTATATCGTATATCGTACCGACTTGTACAATTATTGTGAATAACAAGTTAAATAAAGTGCTGTTCAGTTCTCAATCGAAGAAAGAGTTTTACTCATCAGTTTATACAGTCCACCAGCTCAATGTCAGGAATTTGTATTGTTGAATCTGGTAACCCTATCTGTAGGCATTTGCCACAGCATATTTTGGACGCCCTGGTTAAGTTATAAAAACCACTATGCTTAGTTTACAGGTATTTGGTAAATGTTTATCCACCAAACTTGCCCTATAGAGCCTCAAAATATGCGGGGCCAGTGTTTCTATTGCCTGTTGCAGAAGCACAGGCAATACCCCATCTGGTCCTGGTGATTTGTATGGGTTGAAGGTACGTATTGCCCATGTTACTTTCTCTAGTGTGACTACTTTTTTAGTATATTCCCCTGCTTGGGTTTTTAAAGTTCCCACATGGTTTATTGGACATTTTGCTAGAATGCGGTGGAGTCTGCATCCTTCAGTTGTATTTTCAATTTCCTATGTTATGTTATGTTGGTAATGGGGTGTTAATACACTGCGAAATATTTATTGTGTCCTTCTATCACTAATGCAGCAAGGAAAGCCTCAATGCTTATAACGACCCTTCCAATCCTGTATTCTCAAGGAAGTGGGGATTTGGAGTGGCTTCAAGCCTGTTCTTGCTCAGGCAGATGCAGGCTTCCGATCTTTTCTGGTTATATTCACCCAGAAGTATCTTAGCCTGTCTCAGTCCCAAGAGAGTTCCAATTATCAGTTCTTCTACTGCCCAATTCTTTTTTAATCTCTCCTAATATTGTGTTACTACTAATACCGCAGAACGGCTCTGGTCCCACAAAGGGTGTTTGAGCCCCTTTCCTTGCGATACTATCTGCAATCTTATTACCCTGCACCCCGTTATGTCCCGGGACCCAAGTGAGAGTAACTCTATTTTTCTCGCCTAGCTCATTCAATTGTTCTAGACATCTTCAGACCATTTTTAAGCTGATTACGTAAGAGCTCAGCGCTTTGATGGCTGCTTTGCTATCGGACATGATGATAATCTCTTGTCTACGATAGTTTCTCTCAATGTTATACTAGATACACCTCTCGATGGCCTGAATTTCCACCTGGAAGATGCTTGGGTATTTTCCTATGCTTTCGAAATGCTTGGTTCTCGGCCCATACACTCCTATTCCAGTTCCTTCTATGGTTTTGGAACCATCCATATACCACTGAATAGCATGTCTTCTGGTTGCAAGTGCGATGGTTTCTTGGCTCTATTCTTTCTTGCAGCCCAGCTCTGTGGTTTTAAAGTTTTTCACAAAACTGTACTTCTTTATCATTTTATCCTGGGGCATATCCCAGGTATCTTTGGTCCTGAAGCAAGTAGACTTTCGTCTGATTACTCCGTTCCTGATTATTCTATATCGTTCAATTTTCTAACAAAATGTTCTCCATGAATCCCTCTTAGATTTTCTAAGAGTTTTGTTTAAAAGTTTTGACGTATTCCACCTACTCGTTCGTCTTTTTAGTCTTATTAAAAAGTTTACGTGTTTTCCTTCTGAGTTTGGTGAGTTCGTTCTTCCACCAGCCCACCTCCCTAGAAGTTTTCCTGTTCTCTAATGAACAGTTATTGTGATGATATTATGATTGTGTCCTGCAGTTGTTCTGCAACTTTATCTATATCATTTTCAGTATTAAGAGTTATTTTGACGGTTTTTAACACTGTCCCCAGCTTTACCCCGTATCCAATCAGGTCTCGGTATACATCACCTGGTTTATCCACGTTGTCGATTTCTATAAGAATGTGCCGATGATCTGAGAAGGTGAAGGCTTTCTAGACACGTACCACTTGCCAAAGTGATTTGAAACGAAAAAAGAACCAAGGGTAATATCAATAATCCCGCTCAGCTATCTTTTTGAGAAAGAGTTCTGATATTTTTAAAATGAAAGGTAGAAAGTAAGATACAAACTAACAATTTTATTTGCTCTTAAATCATAGTGTAAAAGTGAAAATACAAGTTTAGTAATCCAGTAGAATTGAGATGAAGAATATTTTGAAAATATTTTAATATTTCACATGTTTATCTGCATGCATATCAAAAAAATATAATTATCAAACTATACTTACTTTGGTAAAGGAAATTTGATAACCTTTAGCGCCACTGTACTATTACTTTCATCATTTTGATCAGTATTAAAGATGTTACCCTTACTAGAATTATTCTTAACATCCAACGATTTTTTTAAATTCTGCAACTTATCGTTATCACCTAAAATAAATAAAACTGACTTCTCGTTAAACTCTTCTTTTACTCCAAAATCAGATTCTTCATTAAAATCACTCAAGATGTTTATTCCTTTTCCAAAAGTTTTGGATTTAGATAATCCCTTTCTATTAGAATCATTTAGTTTGTTTTTTGATAGTTTTGAATTGTCATTTTCATTAAAATAATTTTCTTTATTTGTTTCGATTATTTGAGATAAGTCTGCACAAATTTTCTTAGTTTTAATAAGTCTCGCTTTCTTTATTATCCCTCCAGCTTCTCCAGAAGATTTGTTTTGTCGTAAACCATCACAAATATCGTTAATGATTCTGTTATCTTCTAAAATATCGTCTCTTTCTAAATACTGCCTTTCTACTCTGAAATATCTGATGAAATAGAATAGAAAATCGAGAATATCGTTTAATGTTTCATTGTTTTTAAGGCCATATATGACGGTTTTTGAAGTTTTTGTAAGAAATCCGGATGCTCCGCATAAGTTTGTCAGCTGCCGCCAGACAGCGTGGTAGGAGTCCTTTAGATTAATCTCTTTTAGTAGATAGCACGATGTTATCCATCCCGTATGGTGGGTTAATACTGCCGTGAGAAGGGCGCTCAAGAAACTGAAATAAAAACTAGTTTGTAGTAAAACACACTATCCCTTATGAACCTGTTAAGTTACAGGCAATTAAAATTCAGTTAAATAATAGAAGTAACAAAGGAGTCGTTTAAACACATTTGAGTTTTAATTGTTCTGTATCTTTTAAGCAAAGGGCAGTATAGAGTTCGATTTTCAAAATTTTAATTTTTGGTCGATATAAACATATATACAAAGAAAGATGAGGTTTATTTGGTACGTAATTCGAATTCTGATAACTTTTGTCCATTTGTTATTTTGATCGCTGGTTTTTTAGAAGAAAAAATACTGATGTCGTAAAAGAATCTGAGGTAGATTCATCGAAAACAAGTGTTAGTTTGAAAAACAGTGCCAAGTCTCAAATTGTTTACCACGATGTGTACTGGAAATATGGTCAGCTATTATAGATAATAATCAAGATTCATTCATTACAAATAGTCTCCAGCAAATATTGATAAAGATAAATAATGGATAAATGAATGACTTGGTTGAAATATGGTGCCAAACGAGCTATTCCTAAAAAGAAAATATAATGAGTAATAGCCTAATAATAATGAAATGGACTGTTGCAACACCAATAAGAATTGCAAGCAGTCGTATACATGAAAAACATAGACATATGCCTAATTTTATTTTACCAATGGTTTACCATACAATAGAGAGGATACCGCAGTAATACTTAGAGAAGAAGGATAAAGGACTGAAGAATTTCAGGCTTCTTCAGTAATAACAATATTTAAAACTTATGATGTTGTGGTAACTTCTAGATATTGTCCTCCAAGACATTAAAAAAGAACAATATCCAGGCTTCCTAAATAGTCAAGGACCCAGATTTATCATTAAAGGCGACTTCATTGCAAAGCACAACCTTTGAGGATCCTGACAAATGACAAATAAGGGTAAACCTAGGAGACGCGATGACGCCTGACTTAATAGAATTTTTTGTTGTACAAAATACTTCAGCAAACTACATCTAAGTTGATGATGCATCGGACATGAATTCAGATTATTCTCCCAATATTCTCACTCTTAGCGATACCAAAAGGAAAGCGATCTTAGACTAGTAGACAGGAGAACAAATTGGTAAACCTTTAGACTAGAAAAAAAAACTTTCAGTTATGTTAAAGACAGTAGAACAGCTACATGAAGAAATAGAACTGCTTGTTTTCCACATACAGCAAACAGTATGGGATAATACTACAACTACTAATCAGCGAACAACTGAAAATAACTACCCTAAAAAAATAAGGGACCAAAACTTTGCAAAAAGAAAACTAAAGAGGAAATAGAATCAGACCAGAACTTCAATAGATAAAACCAATCTTAACGCCACCCAGCAGTTAAAAATAGAGAATAAAATACAAAAAATAAATCTATTCGTGAGTACTTTAGCGAGTTGACAAAAAGATAAAGCCACTGATTATCTCTTTAGGAAAGCCACTAATCAATTGAAAAGGCACACAATAGGTGCGTTCACCAGACGGCAACAGTTGAGTAGTTGAGTAAGCGATCGCCTTCGGCAGGCACGATGACTACGCTGAATGTCATCTGCTGCAAATTTCACCCAGCGCGATGAATTTGCGCTGAGCCGACTCAACATATGCTTAGACATGCGCAGTGAGATGACAGTTCATTGTTGCGCGTGCTGTCTTGATTTTTAAAACGAACATATTATAGGGACCGTGCGTGAAATATAGAGGCAGCACTACTGCCGAACTTAGCCCTCTCTAGTGTTTAATTTTAGAAATAAATGGGGTAAACATTGCAAGTAAATAATGAAGGGTATTTTTTTAAATATTAAATATAGTTAAAAATAGATACCGGCCCGTACCAAACAATCGTGTACATGGTCAAAATGACGTAAAATGTGAAACATTATTAAAATCTGGACATGCATATACATTTTAAGCAAAAAGATTTAAATGGCTAAGTGACAATAAATTGTAAAGTTGTACCTTAAACAAGTGTATCCAATGTTAAAATATAGGTATTTAGTAACACTGAATTTAAAAGTATTACAATAACATTTAAAAAATGTAAATTAATAAAAAAGATTGATAATAATAATTATTCTTCGCATCTCCGTTCTTCTATGATAGATATGGTAGGTTTCATATTCCAAGTAATTCACGCACTGTGTTAAAAGTAAATAATTTTTTGTCGTATCGGCTAATCCTTTGTCTCTGGGAGCGACTATCGAAGAGTTCATTTTTAAGTGCCTTCACGTGCAGTGTACAAAATTTAATTGTGAGTTAAACGAAGTAAAAATGCCAAATAATCGAAAAAGAAAAGCGATAAAAGAGTTGTTGCGAATGAAAAAGAAGTTTGCGAGACTCGAAAGGGAATTAACGGATAAAAATACAACATCTTCCGATTCGGATAGTTCACAGGGTAAGTTATATCTTAAACTTTACAATTTTTTAGTGTGCTACGCCTTTTTATGTATTGAAATATTGCTATTTGTATACAGGGTGTAGTTGTTTTGACTACGATGCCCGCAAACACTTGTTTGCTATCAAATAAAGCAGAATTTTGTTGATTTGCTTTAACTGGAAACATTTCTTGTATACTATTATTATATATAGGGTGTGGTTTGTTTTGACTACGATGCCCACAAACACTTGTTTGCTATCAAATAAAGCAGAATTTTGTTTTGTTTTGCTCTAACCGGAAACATTCCTTGTATACTATTAATATATAATAGGGTGTAGTTTATTTTGACTACGATGCCCGCAAACATTTGTTTGCTATCAAATAAAGCAGAATTTTGTTGTTTTGTTTTGCTTCAACCGGAAACATTTCTTGTATACTATTAATATATATATATAGGGTGTAGTTTGTTTTGACTACGATGCCCGGAAACATTTGTTTGCTATTTGTATACAGGGGTAGTTTGTTTTGACTACGATGTTCGCAAAAACGCTTGCTTGCTCTTAAATAATGCAGAATGTCATTGTTTTGTTTTTCCGGAAAACCCTTTTTATGTAGTTTATTTTGGTGACATAACTTTAAAAAAAAAAAAAACACTATTATTCGAGTGTATTTATTTTCAGAGTCCCTCCATACCTCTAGCAGAGATTCTTTCTCCAGAGAAAATGAGGAAATCGGCCAATATAATACACTATTAGAACATAATGCTCTACCTGGTACATCAGCGATACCACAAGTAGAGGTTAACGATCAAAAAATTGTTGAACTTTTGGGCGAAAACCCCAGTAATCAGAATAAAAAGGGGGAAGCTTTACATGAAGAGCTGGTAGTAAGATGGTCGAACTACTTAACTCAAGGTATACCAGGCGAAGCCAGAAAGGAATTATTACTTAAATATCCTATACCAGAAAATTGTGGCTCTCTCCAAGCTCCAAAAATGAACGAGGAAATAAAATCTATTTTAACAGTCCAGGCCACAAAAAACGATTCTTTTTTCACTAATCTTCAAACACAACTCGGAGCGGGCTTGACAATTATTGGCTCAATTTTGACTGAAAAATTATCTAAAACCTCGGGCAATACTGAAGAAGAATTAGTACAAAAACTATCAGATGCATCTCTTTTTTTTGCCAGCGTTCATCACGCATTATCAGTGAAAAGGAAATGGGAGGTAAATCCCTCCATTAACCAGAACAGCAGAGTTGCCGCCCAACAAAGCACTATAGATGACTATCTTTTTGGCTCAGGTTTTATGGAAAAGGTTAATTCTTGCCAAGCCATGAAAAAAGCCAGCGAAAATATTAAGAACAAACCTTTCAGAATGACATACAGTCAATTGACCCCAGGAACGTCAACTGGTCATAATTTAAACTTCAAGCGCCATGTGTTCAACACCAAGATGAAAGGGGAGATAAGAAAAAAGGGGCAGGGAAACAGCAGAGACCAGAAGAAGAGAATTTCAGAGAAGAACAACTCCCGATACCATCACCGTCAGTCCAGGACACCACACTACAAGTAGAGGTACCACAAAAAATCGCTTGCCGATTAGAAAATTTTTACAAAGCATGGCTTAAAATTGTCCATAATCGGCAAGTTCTAAATTGGATTAAAGGTATAAAAATACCTTTTCTAACCCGACCTAAACAAAAAATAACTCTTTCAAAAAGAGTATCAATTTCTGACATTAAATTTTATGAAAAAGAAATTTCGAACCTTCTTGAAAAAGGAGCAATTTCAAAATGTAAAAACTCCAAAAATCAATTTTTATCATCTTATTTTCTCATTAAAAAACCCAACGGAAAAAACCGATTCATTTTGAATCTAAAAAAGTTAAATTGTTTTATACCTACAAATCATTTTAAACTTGATGATTATAGAACAGCAATTAAACTAATAAATAACAAAAGATTGTTACTTAGCAAACTTAGATTTGCAAGATGCTTATTTTCTATTGCCAATTCATAAAAACCATAGAAAATATTTAAGATTCAAATTTAAAAATCAATTATTTGAATTTAATTGCCTACCATTTGGAATAAACATAGCGCCTTACATTTTTACTAAATTAATGAAGGAGGTCGCTAGACACCTTCGAATTTTAGGATGTAAAGTATTAATATATCTAGATGATATTTTGATTATCGGAAAAAATTATGAACAATGCTATAACAACATCATCATTTCAGTAAATCTGTTAAAATCACTAGGTATGGTAATTAATTATGAAAAAAGCGTACTTCAACCCGTTAAAAGGATTCAGTTTTTAGGATATATTTTTGATTCTCATGAAATGACAATACACTTACCAGAAAACAAAATAACAGGTACTTTAAAATTACTCAATAAAATAAGAAATAAAAAATCAATAAGAATAAGAGCCTTTGCATCAATCGTTGGGAAATTGGTATCTATTTCACCAGCTATAAAGTATGGCTGGTTCCACACAAAACCTTTTGAAATTGTTAAAATAAGAAATTTACGTAGTAATAATATGAACTATAACAAAAAAATGATTATTCCACGGGAATTGAAACAAGATTTTGACTGGTGGTTAAT